ATCTTCCAATAAAGTTTTTAAAAAGTTACACGTCAGAAAGCGGAAAGGAAAAGCCATCATAGCATTTCATTTGCAGGCAAATTCATTGGAAACCTCTCCTACAACATGACCCCGCTTGGCATGTCTTAAAGCAGATTAATACATATGTAAACACATATTAATACATATGTAAACACATGTGAAGAAAGCATCCGCAGTCGATCCTAAGGATTTCGCAGCTAGTTTCCTTTTCCGAGCTGATCCCGATTGCTCCCTCCACCCTTCTTCCCCTGAACAAGTCAGTCCCCTAGCAAGGATCAGCATCATTTCAAAACTACTCATTTCCACGAGTCATGGCAGAAAAGTGCGAGCAGCAAACATTTTTAAAGATACTGTATTTATTCCCTGGAGAAGCAGGGGGGGAGGGGAGGGAGGAAATGTACCCTCGTCCTTCCCCCCCCCCAAAAAAACACACAAGCTTGTCCCTGGGAAGAGGGGTTTTTCTGTCTCAAAGAAACCGCTTTAGGAGAGCCTATGAGGTCTTGGTTACCATTTTAGCTCTCCAAAGCCACTTCATCCTGAGTTTTTTCTTCGGTGCCCCGAATGGGCATGGCAAGTCCCGCCAGAAGAAGCCTGTAAGAATCCACTCGCAGGGACGTCTTCCCCACACAGTCAGGCACCATTCCCGCGCTGCTGCTGCTGCTGCTGCTGCTCCTCAAGCCTCGGCAGTCAATTCATGACCACAAAGAGCCTCGACTGAGGCGCAGAGAGAGACACAGATATGAGAGAGAGACTCCTCCCCCTCCCTACACACACACACACACACACACACACGCTCCCCCTCCCTACACACACAGACACACACACGGTTTTCCTGTTTACATTAGAGAACCGGGCTTTGAGCAAAGGAAGAGTTACTATCAAGTCCTCCTCTTGGCACGTCAGAGATCCTCCAGTCTGTGCCGTTTCTCTGAAGTTTTATCATCTTAACTTTTCCAGACAGGCACCAGGTGCCAAAACAAAAACGTGACTCTTCCCCCCCACCACACACCCCCATTATGTTTCCTTCACCAGCGGAGGAGGGGAGGAAATCTAAGAATGGTGAAAGGAGAGCGTTTGCTAAACTTCTGTTCTTCTCTGCACTCGGAGACTTCTTCGTAGCGTTGGCACTGAATGGCCCCCAGAGTAGTACATTGCCAGTAGAAAGCAGTCCCCACCACCCGATTCGCACAGTACCTCAAGAGTTTTAAAATGCCATTCACAACTGGAAATGCCGCTGGCCCAGAAGATCCTGGTGGCTGCAAGCTATGTCAGGATAAACTTAATAACATTAGCTTTATTGTATCATTTAAATTGTATGGTCTATAATAATTTTTATTCTTATTAACCACCCAGAGTGACTATTGACCAGATGGGTGGTCTAGAAGGTAAGTAAGTAAGTAAAATAAATAAGTTAAGTTCTAAGGAGCCACAGGACTCTTCTCTTTTTAAAGCTTGAAATCATTCTTCAACCCCTTAAGTTAGAAAAAGGATCGCCATCACAGACGAGAAGGCATTGGGGCAAAAAGAATGGGTGGTTTTACAAGTGACACAAAAAAGTGTTGTGAAACTTCTCCCACCTGGGCCCCTAGATCAGCCAGCCTCACTTATTCTTTTTTTTAATTAAAATTCAAACATACAGAAAACAGCAATAGACACAGAAGAAAAGGAAAGTTAAAAAAAGACAGCAGACCAAGTATAAAAGGAAAAAAAGCTAACGAAACCCTCTATTAAACTAAACCCTCCCCCCTTTGGAGTCAGAGACTCCAGCCTCATTAACCCCTCTACTCTCCCCAGTTTGGTTTCCATTGTATACTAAGTAGATATACATATATATTATAAACTTTGCCCTACACTCCTGTCTTCTGGGCCCAAGAGTATATTAGTTCCCAGCTTTGTTTTACATAGTCTCTTGGTTGTTCCCGTAGTGCTTCTGATAGAGTGTCCAGTTCTGCTATGTCCCATAGCTTCATTTGACAACTCTTCTATCGTCGGAACCTCTTCGGTTTTCCATTTTTGGGCCCAGAATAGTCTGGCGGCTGTGAGTATATACATTAGCCAATGCTTCAATTTATTATCATTAATTCCTGATATGACATTCAATAATACCATTTCAGATTTTATATCTAATTTCTGAAAGAGACAATGGTAAAATGGGCAAAATTTTTGGATACAATATAGATCTTGATGATTGGACTATGATGTGGAAAGAAAGCTGTAAGATGATTAAACCAGTAAATCTTAGAGAAAATATCCTCAAAATGTTCTACGGTTGGCATTACACACCTGTAAGACTAGCAAAAATGTCAGAGGGTAACAGCAATATATGTTGGAAGTATAAAAAATGCAGGAACTTATTATCATATGTGGTGGACATGCGAAAAAGTCAAAAATTACTGGACACAGATATGGGAATTAGCAAAAGAAATTACCCAGCCTCACTTATTCTTGATTTCTTTGGTGGTTTAACCTATCCATTGGCTCCCAACAACTTTGGGACGTCTTTGGGACACTTTTGCGCATCTGTGAAAGCAATCCATTTCTCTAGTCTAATGGCTAGCCTTGGACAAGTCCAGTGAAGCCCTTCTTGTCTGTTATGGCAATTAAGTGGAACCCTCATGCTCCAAGACAATTTACCTTTGGATTCTGCTGCTAGGTGCAGACAAGACAGGAAGCCATCACTTTCATGATCTGCTGCTTAGGCCCTGGTCACACAAGGGAAATGTTATATAGTTATCCACCAGTTACGTCAGTAACTGGTCACACAACACAGAGTCAAGACCAAGACATTTTCCCAGCAAGCAGTGTAACTGCAGAACATTTCACCATCACCAGGAGGGTTGTGTTACTTTGTACCTTTGTTGCACTGGCGCATTCCTTACCAGGATTGCCTGTGTTCATGACTTGCTTTCCTTCTTTTCAGAATCGAAGCCAGGAAGGTGGCCACCATTACTGCAGCATGCACATTTTTTAAAAAAATGTCCTGCCCGATACGTCAATACATTGGTAAAAGTATGTCACCAGGGTGCAACATTTTTTTCCTTTCCTGTGGGAAGATACATTGAAACATTAGTAGGGTAATATCACTGGGGGGGGGGGGGGATTGCCAGTACTGCTGCATGGATATCCCAAGTCCACTATGTGCAATGCATTTCTGTAGGAACAGCCAGTAAAACAGAGGAACACTTTCCTAAACAGAAACCCCTTCCCGGTATAATTTCAAACCTCATGTGCGAGTCTGCTCCCCCCCCCACATGTGGAGTTCTGTTGTGACAGGAATGAAAAGGGCTGGAAACCACAGCTGTGGGTGCACGAAGGAGGAGGGAAACTGTATGGAGGGGGGGTGGAGGCAAGCACACTTGTGCATTCAAGCACTTTAGAGGGAGGCTTGTTTGTGATAAATATTACGTAATTCAAATATTACAACATGCCTCTCTGCCAGGTTGAAGAGTGGCTCGTCAATCGCAAGCTCCAGAGTGATAGGATGGCACTGCACAACCCACGGCAGTGGCTGTTCGGTGAATGGACTGTACAGCACCATGGGCTGGACCCTCGTTATCTCCACCTGTGTGGGGGTATTCATATTTGTATATGAATACCTCCATCTCTAATTGGGACACACTTTTTTGGGGGAAAACAAGGAAAGCATGAGTAGCACATTTCAGGTGGAAAATTTTTCACTCATTTTTTAATTATGTTAGATTTCGTTAGGGCTTCAATGATATAGAACAGTGATGGCGAACCTATGGCATGCGTGCCACAGCTGGCACGTGGAGCCCTTTCTTCTGGCATACGAGCCATAGGTCACTACTCCCCCCCCCTGCAGAGCCAAACCTCATGAGGTGGCTGCAGCCGGAATTCCCCCTTCCACCGCCACTTCTGGGTCCTCCGGGTCTGTCACCATGATTCCCCCTTAAGCCGCCATTTCCAGTTCTGGTCTTCTGGATCCGGGTCCATCGGCATGCCACCCACTGTCGTCTCCCCCCCCCCTTTTGGGTACGCAAGCCCAAAAAGGTTCACCACCACTGGTATAGAAGGATTAAGATACAATTCGTTATTGTGGTTTCACTTCAGAGCAATGAAATTGGAAATGTATATGAAGTATTGCACTCATCTACAAAAGTCTGTATATGTGTTGCTGATTTTTCCAGCACCCAAAACTAATGAAATGTATCAGACAGTATGTGGGACTGGGAAGGAGCCACCTCCGAGGCTGTCCCAACTCTGACTGGGCCTTCCACCTCATTGCCTGGGTCAGTGGATTTCGAAACATTGAGTTTATCTATGGACTGGGTAGTTGGGACAGCAGCAGAGGAACCAACAGGGAATGCTAGACAGGAGGAGGAAAGTGTGGCAGCAAAGATGGTGGAATATAAAGGATAGTTGGGAACAGAGAAGGAGGCAGACTTCTGGGCAGACTGGGAGACTTGTGAGGCAGAGTCACAGGGGCTGGAGGCGGAGCATAGCTGCAAAGGTTAGGAGGTTGTGTGACACAATGATCCCTGGACTGGCAAATGGATAGACCTGACCATTCTGCCAGAGGAGGCAGAGGGAGTGTGTCATGTCCAACAATGGCAGCATTTACACCCATTAGGGTGAATGAGCCCGCTGACACCATTGATGCCAGAGGCATGGGAAGGATCTATATCTACATGGGAAGATCTGCTGTAACCAAAGAACTGACACAGGGAGTGGAGGCCGCCATCTGGCAGACCCAGCCCTCAGCAGTTGACAGATCGACTGCAACCCCCCCAAAAGCAGTGACCTTGCTGCCAGTCACATCAATCTCTGGTTGGAGAGGGCCACTGCTGCCGCCACATTTGCCACCCAGTCATCTCACAGCTCCTCAGGAGTCACCTGCTATGAGGCAGCTGAGATCCAAGGGACTAGAGTACGGGACCACTTGACCACCACAATCCACCACCCATGTTGTGGCATGCCTTGCCTAGCACCTATGGGATGCCCTTGACCCCTGGGAGGAGAAGGGTTTTGTCCCACCATTGCCCACTGCCACTTAAAGACCCTGACCCTTGGCCCAGACTGAGGAAGGGGAAACTCTTTTTGTTTTGTTTAGCGACATAGCTTGGTAGAGCCCTGTTGGCTTCTTTTGTTGACGTTAAAGTTTGAATATACCTGCTCATTTTTCTGCAGCTTGACTCTGTGTCACAGAAGAGGCTGATGGGGCCGCTTGCACAGTACAAGCCTGAACAAGTGCTAAGGTTAATGAAAAATCAGTCCCTTCGCTTACCTCTTGTTTCACTAGTACATGGCACACAATGAAATAAGGTCTTCCATAGGTACCACAGGACTCTATGCTTTCCTTTGGTTTCAGAGGCTTCATGATCAGGATAGCTTTGGAGAACTGAGTCATAAGAATCATAATCCTTCAGTAAAGGAACAGATATAATGTTAATATTAGCAATGGCATTTTTACCCTGAATGTAAGGGTGTAATAAAATATACATTTATTGTTTTAGCAATATACCCAAGCTTTGAAAATTATCCCCCAATAGGTTAGTAATACATAATACTAGTCCACAACTTCATGCCATCCCTAGATGACTCAAAAATATTTTCTTACAGATAACGCAGAAATGGAAATTATTGGCTTCTCCTTCTCCATTCTCTCACACACAGGTACATGGATAAGTGGAGGTATGTTCTACTCATGTCACACCTATGCCTTGCCTGCGACTGACTATG